AACGGAAACGCATTACTGCTTCACGGCAGAAATAGGGGGGGTGGTGGTGGTACCTACCTGTGCGGACTCACAAGAAGTCCTACCACCAGCAATTACGAAAATTATAATTTTGCGGGTTTGATTTTTATTACACGACTAGCGACCCGCCCTCGCTTCGCTTCGGAAACATTAAAACACACATGAAACCAAAAAAAAATATATTAAAAAATGTAGCCTATGTTCATCAGGGACAATGTCGGCTTCTAATGGAAAAAGAATTTTTCAAATCGGTCCAGTGGTTTCGGAGCCTATTCGAAACAAACAAACAAACAAATCTTTCCTCTTTATAATATTAGTATAGATAGATGTGATTCGTTTACCGTGGAAGTCAATCGTGAACATTTCCTAAGTACGTATTTCATTAGAAAAATGTGTACCCGCCTGCGGGATCCGAACACCGTTGCATCGCTAGATACGAATGCACGGGACGTCTTATCCTCTAAGCCAATAAGTGTAATATAGAAATAGTATACCTAACTATTATAATGGAAATAAGATAATGATAGTATTTAATAAAGCAATTAATCAAACTTAATATTAATGTTACTGATTTTTCGTCTCACGGAAGTAGTATCGCTAAATTGTTTTGTTGTTACGTCGCCGTATCAATTAATTCACCCCCTTCGCCGAATGACTGGCTTCGAACGAAGGCCATCGGGCGCTGATCGATTATACTCGATTCCAATAAATCGTTCATTAATGAAATCGATTTATTCACCCCCATTATTTACACTAAAATTGTAAATGCGTTCTTTATTTAGGTCGGAGGACGATGAAACTGCTATTGCTTTCGCCCTTTTGATCAGTTTCATGTATTTCCCTAGCTCGTTAATTTAACATCTCAGCTACTGGTAGTTTTGCACACGCTTGCACGCTACCTTTATGTGAACACGACTTAAAAATATTTCTAGAAAATTCCATCTAAATTCCACTGGTGATTGAGCGTATAGCTGTGCGCTCGAAGCAAGTATTTATTCCAGCTTTTTTTTTTGTCCTACCTAATCTGAGAGCCTTGAGAGGCTATTTCAGCGTAACCCTAACTTTTGTAGGTGAGCTCACGGGGCTCAAACCTGATGACGTTGCTAACACGAACCCTAGCAACAGCCGTGCTTCGCAGAATCTACCACCGGATCGGAAACGCGACCCACTGAGAAGATCCGGCGAGAAACTCAGTGGGCTGTGTCTGAGAGTTAATTTACTCGTCGAGCCCTTCGTCGCAAGCGACGGGTTCGACGAGAACGGTGACCGGTTATTCCAGCGGACAGGGGAAACCGTTATAAAGAAAAACTGAGAATTCGCCAACGCCATTCTCATTGCAGTTTCTATGAGATTCAGTAACTGGCGTCCAATCTTAAAGTAAATGTACAGACAAATACCAATTTATTGTTTCTGTGCATTGTATGTGTAATGTTATATCAAACTAATTCTACAAAGCAGCTTTGCTAAAATCAAGAGCTCGATGTGCAACTTAATCCATAGATACAACCCACTTAGTTTCTCATCGGGTATTTTTCACTCTTCACATACAGTCGCGAAAAAATATCTTTATAAAAGAACATTTGGTCAGGCCACCTAACAGTACCCTGTCTTTGGATACTAGGACATTTTGATTGGCTGTCGCATGGCTTTGTGACAATAAGCAATTAAACCTAAAAATAATAGTTAGAATTTTTGTTTAGTAACGCGGGGGCGCAGTCGGGTGCGGCAAATGGAACAATTACTTCATAGTTCATACATCACCAGTAACTATGCGAGCCTGAGTGTGTGCGGAGTAATTACAATTTTCGTACGTTATTTTATATTTACTTTATGTGGAGCTTTAGCAACGACTTAATCTATATATATATATATAGATTAAGTCGTTGCTAAAGCATATGCATATTTATATATATATATATATATATATATATATATAGAAATGAATTGCTATTCGTTAGTCTCGCTAAAACTCGAGAACGGCTGGACAGATTTGGCTAATTTTGGTCTTGAATTATTCGTGGAAGTCCAGAGAAGGTTTAAAAGGTAGATAAATATGAAAATGCTCGGAATTAAATAAAAATAACAATTTTGTTTTTTCTTTGATGTTTCCTCCGTCGAACGTGTTCCTTTTGTTTGTTTTAAGCTTATTTTATACACAAGTTTAGGTCTTTTATTTATGGATTGTGGCACTGGCACTATGAAGTCTGCCGAGTCAGCTAGTTCGTAATAAAATCAACTTTACTGTTGATCTTTTTTAAGTTTCCTAAAGGTGTTATTGAGCATACGACCAACCCAATGCTAAGTGGTTACCGAAGCCCATAGAAGTAAACACGCACTTATACATGATATCACAGTCTCAATTGCATTAGAATGTATCGAACTGTTCTGCTCTAAAAAAGACAATATGGAGCACTTAATAACGATCTATATCCATCTCAATCCCTACTATTACGGGCTTTAATACACCTTAAGACCAGATAAGTGACAAACGTCTTTGGAAAACGTACGGAAACCGACCGGAATTTGAATCCGTATCCCGAACCCTGCGGGACGGTAATCCGGGCCGTTAACCATTGTAAAAATTAAGAAATCAATAAAGAATAATAACAAAAATCTTACGTTACGGACGTTTTTTTCCCGGTTAGGGTACCTTCCGCATCGTCCCATACGAAACTTCGTTCCAACAAAAATAAAACTGTATATAAAAAAAAACATGGACAAAAGACAAAGCTTACATAATTAACATAAAATACTTCGTTATATTAATACAAACTGTAGTTAACGGTATTAATGTTTCGTTTAGAAATGTATTACAGTTTGTTTTGACATATTTGTTAGATCAAAGAAGCGAATTATACCCACGGAGCTTTAATATTTGTTTTACAAAAGACGTACTAAGATTTGCCAAGATGTGTTTTGTGAATTCATGATATGTATACCTATGTTCAGTAACGATGTCAAATACGCCATCTTTTACTTTTGGTTTCGTAATAATAAAAGGATTAATTCACTAGAGAAGTGCCGCTTTCTCCGTAGATTAAATCAGTACATCTCTATCGCATTTACTGATGTGCAGTTTAACGACCTGAGGTCTATGTGTCAACTGTGTTACAAAAGTCCCAACCTGCAAACTTCTAAAAGTATATTAGCTTTATGGCAATAATAAGTAAGATGGCGGTACCTACCCGTGTTGACTCACAAAAAGTCTTCGCACCAACTTCTTTTGTGCCTACCTAGTAAGTTTGAGAGTTATACTAGGTTCGTCGAACGTGTAGGCGAGCACACAGGGCTAAGCATGACGAATTTGCTAACTCTAGCAAGAGGTTTTTTTTCCTACCTAAGCTGATAGCCTTGAGAGGCTATATCAGCGGAACCTTAACTAGTAGGTGAGCTCACGGGGCTCAAACCTGACGACGTTGCTAACACGAACCCTAGCAAGAGCCGTGCTTCGCAGAATCTACCACCGGATTGGAAACGCGACCCACTGAGAAGATCTGGCGAGAAACTCAGTGGGCTGTGTCTGTGGGAGCAAGACCAGTGACTCCCTGAATCTACTGCCGTATCGGAATCGCGACCCACTGATAAGATCCGGAGAGAAAACTCAGTGGGCTAATCACACCAATAACAGTCAATAATTTCCGGTAACTAGATGAACTGCTTCCACAATTTACCTTATACATAACTAATGCAAAAAGTTTTGATTTTTTTTTTGTATCTATAGACAAGAAGTATCGTTACAAAGTTGTATCGTAAGTAGAAAGATACATCGCATCGTTCATAATTTCTACCGCGGAACCGTGTAATAAAGAGCGTAATTAAAAAAGTTTTTACACAAAACATGCTTAAGTAAATCGATCTGGTATGAGTCTCGCTTAACTTGGAGTAAGTAAAGAAAATGATGTATCATTTACAAAACTATTTGAGTGGTCGTTTAAAATAATTAAAGTGGGAAGGAAAGAATCTCATAGGCACGACCCATTGAGTTTCTGACCGAATCTTCTGGGTGGGTCGCGATTCCGATTCGGTGGTAGATTCAGCGAAGCACTGCTCTTGCTACGGCAGACGTCAGCAAAATTTTAGTCTGAACCCCCTGAGCTCTCCTACTTATCCAGATAATCGTACAATACCTCCTCAAGGCTGCTGGCAGATAAGTAGATAAAAAGAGAACAATACATCAGTCAATATAAACCTGTTTTAACAGACCTGCTAGACAATCGCTAGTCTGCTAAAGTTGGTATATCATCAATTTAAAAACGAATATTGTTGTAATCACTTCAGAGAAGGTTTTGTCGTAATACCATGAACACCCAACAGGTTGCGTGGGAGTAATAGTAAAAATTGCATATATTTATGTTTTATATATTGTTATCTAAATTTAAATATTGGCATTTTGGGAACGTCTACTCATAAACCAGACCTCGAGCTGGGTCTCATACCATGTAAGTTCTTTTCTATCCAAACTCTACAAACAAAATAATTTAGTCAATTAAACACGTTGATTGTTTTTGTCGTCCATTACATTTGGAATTATTAAATTATTTCACATTTAGTTACATACGTACTATTTCTATTTCAATCAAAATGCTATTGACCTAGATTGATTAGAATCCAATACTGTAAGAAAATTGTGTTCAGAACTAAAACTTTAGGTAACATGAGATTCGTTCATTGGTAAACAGGAAACCGAAACATTTCTGTTACCCTTTCGGTATTTTATTCTTGGATATTCTTGCAGAAATGTTTTAAGTTTAAATGCTGCTTGAGATACAGGTTTAATCACCTAGTTCAAGCACAGATGCAAATTATGATTGTGTTTCTACTTCTATGTTAACAATAAATAAAATAAATAAATTTTCTAAGAGGATCAAGGCGCCACTGAAAGGAAAAATTTAAAACACTATCGGTTTTAGAAGATTTTTATTATTATACAATCTATTTTTTGTAGTGCGAATAATCTTAACATCGAATCTACATTTTTCCAGATTTGAAAAATGCTGCAGTCAAGTGCCAGTGCTGGTGTCAGTGCTAGTGCCAAAGTGTAGTGCCAAAATGGGGTGTACCCCAAGCATGCTTCTCGATCACAAGAACCGGCGCCGGGACAGCACCGGCTCCCAAGAAGCGGCTTTGGCCAAGGTAGCTCCAACTACGCTATGCAACAAAGCTGTGCAGGCCGCAAGAGCGCCCCGAGCCTCATTGGAATCTGATGGCTTCAGCATTCAACTATCCAGCAAAAAGGACAGCTATGTTTCGCAAATGGGAAACAATTTCGCGACCCAGCTTCACATTAAGAGGATTTCTGGTGAGTGAAACGCGTTTACCTGATAAACCTGAATTATTAATGAATGTAATTATTTGTCATAAATATTATGGTTAGGGACCAAAATAAGAAAATTTGACAATTTTTTTGTCGTTTAAAGATATACAGAAAAAAAACAATTACAAGGACAAAAACGTATGCAAATAATAAATAAACACAGATTTTACAGACAGAAAAAAACTTTTGTGGTCGCGAGAGCTACATCAGTAGAAACATGCTTAATCGTTTAGACGCTAAGCATATAAACATTATTTTTTCTCTGTTATGTAGTAAGTAATTAAATAATAAGACACAAAAATGATAGGGAGCGGCGTACGCGCACTTTTTTTGTTCTCCCCACACTCGGCTCCTCCGGGAGTGGGGTGGCCTTGGCGGTGTCCGTGGTTCGTGATAGGGGGGGGGCGGTGGATAGTCACGGAATGCCATGCTACCTTCGCCGGCTGGTGGGTTCCTACTTTTAATGCAACTATCGAGCATGGGCTATTTTGTTTCTCAAATAATGTCGGCCGCAACCAGCGTTATGGGTCTTTGTGCAAAAAAAACATTCACTTATACTTTAAAAGACAACATAACTAAAATCGATTAATCTTTCATCGGAATCAAATCAGAAAGCTTTAAATCAAAACGATAGCTTCTAATAAGCCACTTAGCTTTCACTACTACGAATCACGTTACGCGATCGAATTTTTAAATTCATAATCTAACAACATTAGGTCCTTTCGGATGATCAAAGGAATTGCGTTTAGGAACATCAAAGTGTTTGTTGTTCGCATTTCGGCCGACGACAACTGAACCGAGATAGTTCTGTTATCTTTGGCACGAATATTGAGAGCTAACACTGATTTTAAATACTCAATAAAGTTAAGCGTCATGTTTTAATGATCGTAGGACGTATTTTGAGCTTATTAAAATTTATTTTTGTATTTCGTTTTGTTTTAATTAGACTAAAACATTAGTTTCATTTTCTGTCTAAGCATTTTTTCCTGTTTACTCTCAAAACAAACTTTAGTACACATTTTTTTCGCAAGAAACCTTCTTTGTTCCCTTATACAAGTTTTGGGTAATGACCCAAGAGATATTAACATAAGTTTACGGTTTCCGTTGACAGTGTGTTTGTTTACCTGCATACGCGTTAAAATCACACGTTTGGAATATTAGGTATCGTCATCCTTCATAAGCCTAATAAAAGTAATAGGAGTTAAAGTATGAAATTGCCGTTTTATTGTAATAGGTACTTCGAATTGACATAGAACCTTCATGGTTTGAGATTTTTGAGTGAAACTTTTTTCAAATGGTACCTATGAGGTTCTTCTTTTAAAAAACGTGCAACATTCGATTATCGACTTTCAATTGTTTTTTTTATTCAGCTTAGACAAGAAAGATGGATACTTCGATAGTTCGAGTGATTTTTGAATATGAGTTCCGACGCGGAACATTGATATTAATGATTTATTATTTTGATTAAATAAATATGTTAAAGAAAAATTAAAAAACAATTTTCAATTTTTCCGTAAAAATCGGCAATTTTATACTTTTTAACCCCTAATATAATAAAACTGTGTAAAATTTCAATAAAAATCTCCTAAGGAAAAAAAACATCAGTCATTCGTTCATGAAATATACATTGAAATGTAGATTAAGTACATAAACATAAAATGGCTACGTCAGTTTTATTAAATCAGAATTCTTAAAATTTCGTTTGCTTAAAGACCGGGAAAATAGGCTGTGAGGCTCCTTTCGCGTCATTCTAAATTAAGGGAACGCTCTGAGGCGCCTTAAATGACATTTCTCACATTTTTCACGGAGCATTGAAGAGGCTCAAAGGCTGATAATGACGTAAGCCCAGCGACGACGACCTAGAGTATATACGCACAATGGTGATGAACTGATTTTAAATGTTTTACTCTTCAGTGAATCGGTAGTGGCTGCGATCTGAATAGCCCACGGTAAATTATATACGACTTATGAGTAAAAATTTTAAGACCGAAAATAATAATAAAAAATTTAATAAAAAAGTGGCTACAAAACAAAACTTCATGCAAATTTGTGACAATTAAGTTTATCAATTTGGATTTTATTTACTGTTCGTAATTTTAAAGTTGCAAACGTCGACAAAAATAAACGATGAAATATGAAATATCCACTATGCGAAGAAAAACAGAAATTTCAACAGAAAAGAAACATTTTTGTGCTTTAAAATATTTTATTCATTATTTTTCATAAATTCTTTTTTTTCCCTACCTATTCTAGTAACTTCGGGGGGTTATACTAGATTCAACGAACTAGTAGGGGAGTTCACGGAGCTCAAATCGGGAGTGTTGCTAACACTGGCCCTAGCAAGAGCAGTGCTTCGCAGAATCTACCACCGGATCGGAAACGCGACCCACTGAGAAGATCCGGCGAGAAACTCAGCGGGCTGTGTCTATGGGGTAATTCTTAGGAAGAGCTATTACTTGAGTTAAAAACAGCGCTGCCCCATTTTGGTCTCTTAACTGCTTCCAGTCTCCTTGATATATCCCAAATTAAGTTACCAATAAGACCTTAAGAGATTGCATTCCATTATTCCTGTAACGCGATTTTAAGATCTCTCATATTAGCGTGTTAGATTTTTTTTTTTATTTGTTTGATTGCGTCAGTCGTATCAAAGCTTGAAGTCGCTTTATTGATCGCAGACTTTCGTCAAAGGATGGTATCTGAAGAAAAACAGTAAACTTTATTTTCCAAGCTATCTCATACATGCTCTATCGAGTGTGTAACACAGTATGTAAGTGTCATTATCATGCAAAAAACAATTCAATTTTTTTTAAGAAAATGGATAATGAAACTATCGTTTCTTCGAAAATCTTCAGGTTACATATCTTGCCGCCGTCGATCTATTCCCAATATCGTGGAATTCCATACATGTCATCATACCTAATACTTCCCCATGATATAACTTGCCTTCTAGCAAATACCTCTCTTCCAATTTTTCACTGACCCAGCCGCTCTGTCACTTACATATTTCCATCAAGTTTCTTCAAGCAAAATCTGGCTCGTCTATAAATCGAACTGAACTCTAAGCTTCGTCATTCCAATTTTCATTCAAACGAGCAGCATTCAATCGATCTCCCTAATGTTATGTCGCAAATAGCAGTCCTCTGGCAGGCAAGTGTGAATGTATTTCGTCCAATTTATGCTTCTTCTTATGGTTTTTGTTCTTATTCTAACCTTAGAGCTTGTTTCCTACCTCAGTGGAGTCAAGGTCTGGCTCTAGGCGCACTGATAACGAACTTGACATCTCGGGTTACAGTTACGTCCTGTCTTGCGAATGTTGGCTACTGTTCCGTCTGTGAATTCTCTTGACAATAATATTACAGACTGTTGGTATTCACATTTATTTGGACTGCACATATATCCCCGGTTACAGTTAAGGTAACATCCCTAGCTACTTTAGTTTGGCATTCTCAGTTTAATTGTAATAATAAAAAAATAATATTATAAAAGAAATAAATGCAAAAGCAGGCAAACGTTTTCGCAGTATGAAAGAACACATTGCGCTCTTATGCATAATTTAATAAAATTATTGAAAAATAATAATAAATTAATAAGTTATACCCAGGATTTGCAGTGCGTACTAGAATCACACAACAAAATATAAACCTTTTTCCGGCTTATACCTAAATATACCTATGTCAACCTATGTAAAACTTCCTATAAATTTTTTATGAGTTTAGTTATTTATATAATGATTAAAATTATTTTAAAAATAGCAAATGTGAACCTATAGTACATATAAAAATAATTCAACCAAAAACAAAAAATTACACAAAGTAATAAATCTTCTAAAAGTACACTTTTTAATGAACCGTTGGTGCGTGTTGGGTTTGGATCTTGGGTAAGTTTAAGCGGTAATTGGTAACCCTAGCCACGCTCAGCTCATTACCTCATGAACCATGAGCTACGTCACTTGGATGTGGTAAATGAGTTTATACGAACTTTAGGAAAATTTATCATATTGTTACGCGCNAAAATTACACAAAGTAATAAATCTTCTAAAAGTACACTTTTTAATGAACCGTTGGTGCGTGTTGGGTTTGGATCTTGGGTAAGTTTAAGCGGTAATTGGTAACCCTAGCCACGCTCAGCTCATTACCTCATGAACCATGAGCTACGTCACTTGGATGTGGTAAATGAGTTTATACGAACTTTAGGAAAATTTATCATATTGTTACGCGCTGGGGTTCGGCATAAATAAAATTCTACCAAAGTACAACTAAAAACTGCATTCAACACTTAAAACTCTCAATTCGCTTCTTCCACTTCGCTTCAGATGATCCGTTCGCTGTTTCGTTTCGAGTAGTTCCGATTAATAACTGACTACATGCCATCCCTGCAACGCTTTTATAGCCGATACCACATCCCTAGAATTATCGAGAATATTCCACACATCTGTAGTGTTGTTTCCGCTATCTGACAATAGATGGCGTTGTACTTTTCGGGCGTTCCAGGTGCTACTAGATCCTTCGATATTCGTTCGAATATTCGGCGATAGATGGCGTTACTCTTACCGGCGTAACAATATATTTTTAATCCACTTTCTCAATATGGCTTGAGTTCGAAACTTAAAGTCGTTTTTCTATTATTGCATTATTACATTGATCATTAGTTTTCATGTCATCTATTTTTCTGTCTAACTTTGCTAATTGAATGTGGTTGTATCTTCATTTAGTCGTAGGTAAGCAGACTCACCTCACGTAGTCAATATTAATAAAGTTATCTCATCCCCGACGTGAGCACGACTAAACTTATTTCTAATCTAAACGTGATCGCCTTTCTCCGGACCCATACGAACGAAAAGCTAAAAAAAAAGATGTGTGGGGTCGTGGGATATCGGATAGGAACGAAGTTCCTTATTATAAAAATATTAATTTTAAGTTCTATTCGAGGTATAAAGAAAATAAAACTGGAGGTTTCGCAGCAACCCACGGTCATTCGGTAACGTG